CATGTGGAACATAGTATGTATCTTCTCTATTTCTTAAGGAAGTTAAAAACAATAAGCCATCTTACCAATTTAAGCACTTCATTCCATAAATACATACACTTTAGCTTTGGGTCAATTTTTGGCTAATCCCACTTGGTAATATTAGTTTCTTAGTGTTTAGCCACACTTTTTCCCTAAGTTGAAACTTTATGTCTTTGTGGTTTTAATTTGCCTTTGTTGAACTTGTGCCAAAGAATCCCTCACCAAATTCTAAATGTTAATTCTTTTTACCATAAATACCTCCACTATAGATAGTTCTCTATAATACTCAGCCATACCAAATTTTATGAGACTTTTAATGGCTCACCCATTAATGACTTCCCATAGAGTCACCTTGATACTCAAATGTGATGAATTATTATAGTATATTTCTTTAAGTCCCAAATGATTTATCCAATCTATTTTGTCTCTAGAGATATAACATCATAAATAATTTTTTAGTTACTTATTTACCTTTTCCATTTGTCCATTTGTTCATCTATCAAAAAGTGTTATTATTATAATACTTAACTTAATACATTTGTGGGTGATACACTAATTTTAATCAAAAAACAACTTTGCCACAACTTCCACATTCACTTTCATTATAGTAAGTATGAAATATGTTATTTTAGAAAACTAATCCACCACCAGAAATATCTTACTAAACACCTTATAAACTCTTGAGTTTGGACTTCCCGAAAGGTCACCCAACCTAATACTAGTCAAACTCAAGGATGTGTAACTTCAAATATCCTAAGACATTAATCAATTAGAAAAGAGGTGTATAGAAGTTGAGAGCCACAGCTAACCTAAAAGCCTCACTCTCTTTTGTTGTGGTGGTATGAAATGTGCCATTTTAGAAAACTGATCCACCATAATAAGTATTATAACCTAACTTAATACTACTCAAACTCAAATACACTTAAATTTAAATATCCCAAGACCCTTAATTAATTGGAAAAAGGGGTGCATGAAAGCTAAAAGTTATAGCTGTCCTAAAAGCCCCAAATATTCCAAGATCATTAATTGATTGGAAAAGGGGGTGTATGAAAGCTAAGAGCTTCAAGCCCAATTGAAAACAATGTTAATTTCAACATATAATATGATTTTCCTAGCTAACCAATAAAGTCAAATTTGAGACCTCTCTTATAGCTTATAAGTTTGGATTTCCTAGGAGATTACCTAGCTTAATATTACTCAAACTTAAGGGTATTTAACCTCAAACATCTTAAAACCTTTAACTAATTAGAAAAAAGAGGTGCACTTTTGTTCATAGGCTCTTTCCCTTTATTTTTAAATCCCATGGATTGTTTCTCAAATTATTTTCTTTGGTTGCCTACACCCTTTAGTTGAAGGGAGTTCTGTGATAAAATCTATCGAAAGATATTTCCATAGACAATTTGGGATTGAAAAGCTTTGCAATAAGCCCCCATTGGTTTTAGTTACACCTTTCATCTACTAACATGTTAAGTATGTTTTTACATAGTATTAAACATCTTTAGTTATATTTGGCTAGTAATATTTTCTCATAAATAAGCTTATTATCTTGGGTATTTCACCGTGTCTTGCAAAAGGTCTAACATAACAATCTTCTAAAGCTACCTTTCTTAATTCCCCTTGTGGAAAATACATTTTCGTCTACTTATAATAAATGAGTCTATTGCATTTGACATAACTAATTTTCTCTTCCCTAGGCAACTTGCTTCACTAGTGAGCATCCCAGCCTCTTTGAAGAAATAAGGAAACCAACTTAAAAAGAGTGATATCTCTATTAGAACATCTTAATTTCCCACCAACTCATTTGTGATTTAAGTTGAGTTATGCAATTTGTGTTTATATCATGCCACATTTAAATTTTGTTGCCTTTACCTTATATTCTTCTTCAAAAGATGCAACTTACATTTACTTGTACAACTCTTTAATGTTGATTAGAATTCTAGCTTGATCAAGTGGCAATGTTAGTTTAGGCTCTAAGCCTAGTAAAATTCATAAGTCCTCTCATGACCTTCTAAAGGTTCATCATCCCAATATTGCTTAAATGCCATTTCAGTTTGTCTTAACCCTATTTGCCATTAAATACTGAAATTCATAAGCTTACTAGTCCACTTTAGTATAATGTTATAAAGGGACTTTCTAGACTATCTGATCTTATACTTGAAACTCTTCTATTGCAATGATCAAGTTACAACCAGTTTGCCACCTTGGGTAACCCCATAAAGTGAGTGTTTATTTTTTCTGCTTTTGTGAATTTTTTATTTTCTTTGTTTAGTTTGACTAACTATTTTTTTAATACAAAAGGTAAATAGTACCATCGAAAAAAGATATCAAACCCAAAAGAGCACAAGAAGATGAATTTAACACTAATAAGGATTTTATCATTGACATGTCCATTGGTAAATCAATAAAGACACTACTTCTTGGAGATCATATTTGCATGTTGCCACAACAATCTTTTACACACTTGAATGTATTGCTGCCATCACCAAATCAGGATATACCACTCTCACCACTAGATGAGGATCTAATACCACCAAATCAGTACATACTACCCTTACCACCAAATTAATACTACACAAGACCAAAATGTGTTAGAACCAAATTATAATGCATATCCTTCACCACCACCACCACCAGTATTATTGCCACCACCACCACTACTACTAAATTTACTCCTCACAAATCCACCACCAACATAACCTCGAAAGTGGGCAATTTAGCATAATGGAGAATTTGATGAATAATTTGAAGCCAAAAGAGCTATAGATTTTCTTGACAATGTGGTGGAAAATTGCTTCCAAGAAATTATTATATAAAAAAGAAAAAAACAATTTATTAAACTAAAAGCACTCAAATGGGCACCCCTAATGACTTGATTCAAGAAATTCCCCTTTGCCATTTATAGTAGACAAATCTTATATATATGGCATTTAAATATGTTAATCTAAACATATGCAACCTATTTAAACAAAATTGTAGTGCATATAGTCATGGGATAAGATTTGGATATATTGTCATGGATCCTTAAAACCTTGAGGGATAAATAAGGATAAAATAACCATTAAAAGCTTTTTCATCAATTAATTAATCCTTTTTTAGTTGGGTTAAGGGGAGAGAAATATAGTGTGTTACAAGAGCAATGGCATGAGTTTGATTCCCAATGATTAATGGTTATTTTGAGTAAGGTAAATTTCTACCTTTAAGTTTTAAATCATATGTATTGAACATCCATTCCCACCCCTAAATTTGAAATCATATGTATTGAGCATCCAAATTGATTAATGGCTAATTAAAATATAATATGCCCTTGATTAGGCATATTTCTACCCCTAAATTTGAAATTATATATTGAGCATTCATCTACAAATATAGCCATTAAAATATAATATAACCTTGAGTAGGCATATTTCTACCCCTAAATCTTAAATTATATATTAAGCATCCATCCATGGAAAAAGGTAGCCATTAAAATATAATATAGCCTTGAGTATGTATATTTCTACCCCTAAATTTAAAATTATATATTGAACATCCATCCACAAACAAAAATATCCCTTGTAGAACTAGTTACTTCACATCAAATAATTGATTTACACAATGGAAGAATTAGTAAATTTAGTGATCATAGAATGAAATTTGGATAATGCATATAATGATAGGATGAGATTTTATAATGGAAAGATTGGTAGATTTAGTGATCATAAAATGAGATTTGGATAACACATGATTATAGGATAAAATTTAGATATAATGTCATTTTTTATTGTTTTTGTTTATAGCTTTTATTGAAGTTCAAGCAAGATGCATATGAAGTTGGTGCATCTAGAGAAGAGTCAAGAAGGGTTCTTGGCTAACTTTGTACAAATTGAACATAAATTTTGGCATGAAAAGTCTTCAAAATTGAAAAAATTAGTATTGTGAGGTCCAAGTGTACAACTACGATGCCATATATTAATATTAATGTAGTGGGATTTTGGTAGCCGTCAGATTAATTTCAATCCAAACCATTCACTCCTGTATATAAGCTAGGGTTTTTGGGTTAATTAATATGCACATTTTCTATATTCCCTTTCCATATTCTAAACTCATATTGATGGAGTTGAAGGGCATATTTCATTGTCCCTGAGGAGTGCTTGAATTTGGGATTTTGGTTTAGATTTAACTTTTGCATCGTCTAGATCTAGTTTTTTCCATTTCCTTTCTTTTATTCTTTTCTTTCAAGATTTTGGTTTAAATTTAGCTTTTCCATTGTCTAAATCTTTCTTTCCTTCTAGTTTTTCCTCATTTCCCTTCTTTTGCTTTTTCTTTTTTATTCATCTTCATGGCAGAGCAGCAATATCCTCTTCTGACTCTAGAGCAATAGTTGGTGCAATTGCTTGATCCCATGCAATTGCAATTGAACAATCAAACTCAGTTGATAGTGGCATTCATGTCACATGGTACAACTCCTCTTTCTCTTGGTGCCATCCTTGCATTCAGCCAGAGTTCTTTTGTGGGAATCCTAAGGATGATGTGTATTATTGGTTTGATCACATTTCATGGTGATTGCCACCTCTCATTCTTGGGATGATGTTTGACATTTGAGTGAGTTTCCCACGTGTTTCGAAAGGATGGCACTGTAGTGGTACAATGGTTTGAGTGCAGTTGGAATGTTCTCCTGAACGTCTTCAAATGCACATTCGGATATGCCAACGATTGTGATTGTGCCTTCCAGCAATTGCATTGTCTTTGTCAAGGGCCATCTGAGTCAATGATGCAATTTGGTGTTCATTTCTGAAGCCTCTTGCTCCGTGCAAAGCCAAATATGTTAGAGCAGATCAAGCTAGGAATTTTGTGGCTAGCACTTTGTCAAGATCTTGTCGGACTTGTACATGCACTTGCTCTAACCACCCTTGATAATGCTCTTATCTTGGCACAATGTTATGAAACATCACTTCTTCCACTTCTCATTGCATGTCCTTTCGCTCCACTTCTTATGGGCGATGATGGTCTTGTTTCAATGGAGGTTAATGTTGCTGCTGCTCAAGTCCAAGGACAAGGGTGAAGATGTGTTTGTGGCCATGATGTTTGCTTTTGGGTATGTGATGAAGTTGGCCATACTTATCGGTTTTGTTAGCATTTTCTGGATTAGCAACCTCCATTTCCTAGGTGGAGACCTTGGCGTTAACAATGTCCTATTGGTGCTGCTGTAGTGGAAGGTTTGGATACCGAGATGCATCTAGGAAACAAGGAGTCACGCGAGTAATAGAGGAACCTTGCATGAATAAGTTAGTGACCCCTTCATCTTTCTTTCGGGAGTATCATCAAGGAGTTCACTTGGCACCAATTTATATAGTGTTTACTTTCTAAACTCATTTTTATAATGAGAGGTCTTCTGTTATTCTCTCCATGTTGGTTAATACAAGTTCGAGTTTATCTTTATTGCTCGACATGTTGCCACACGTTGTTGTCTACACTTGCGTCATGCGACGGAGCCAATTTTTATTCTTTATGGCAATGGCCGTACACATGTATGTGCACGGGATGAGGTAGATTTGGTTGTGCATGTGGGCGATCTCGAGCTTGGATTGTAGTCATTGCGGGTGGTGCTGAGTCAAGCTTTTGACCTCATCTTTGATATGGATTGGTTGCAGCACAATTATGCCAAGTGTGATTTTGAGCCTTCTCCCCTTTGTCTCATACTTCCTTATATTTTATCCATTCCTCTCACTTCTATACCTCTTTGTTTACTTCTACTTCTGCTTCTATTACTTTTGTCCCCACACTATTTCTTTGTATATTTCCATTTTGTTCTGCTCTTCCCTTTTTTTATCCCTCCGACAATCTTTGTGTTGCAGCGGTTGACCGGCTCATGAAGGAGTATTCTAATCTCTTTGAATTTGACTTATCGTCTGGGGCCAAGATTGCCACATGTCATTCGATTCCAACTGGGGATGCTCGTCCAATCAAGGTTCCTGTTCGTCATTAGTCACCCAAAGAGATCAAGATTTTACATGTAAACGTCAAGAAGATGTTAGAGAAGGGTGTTAATCGAAAGTTGCAAAATCCTTGGGCATATGAACCTCATCTTGTGACAAAGCTTAATGGGAGAATTTGTTTCTGCATCGACTATTGTCCGTTAAATAAAGTGACGATCCTGGATATATACCCTCTTCCTCACACTGTTGATCTCTTGGATTGTCTAGGGCGAAGTTGTTGGTTCACCAAGCTAGATCTTGCTTTTGGGTACTAGCAAATACCAATGGCTGAAAAAGATATTCTTAAGACTGCTTTAAGTACACTATTTGGTTTGTACAAATTCTTGGTAATGCCATTTGGTTTGAACAATGCTCCAATAACTTTCCAATGGATGATGGACGAGATTCTTTGCAATATACTGGAGGTGATTGTTGACTTCATTGATGATATCTTGATTCACTCAGAAGGGATGTTGGAGGAGCATATTCATGATGTTTATAAAGTGTTAGATTGGCTATAGGATGTTGATTTAACGCTGAAGCGGTCGAAATGCATGTTTGGGTCTAAGAACATGACTTATCTTGGGTACTGTTTCTCGTGAGGGTTTGCAAGTTGATCCTAACAAACATGTGGCTGTTCTAAAGTTCCCTACTCTGAAGTGTGTAAATGATGTGCAGTGCTTCCTAGGCAAGACGCAATATCTCATTTATTTTGTGGATCATCTTTCTTATTGCACGCACCATTGCGAGCATTGCTTAAGTCATCAACGTCATCTTTCATCTGGTCTTTGGATTGTGAGTGGGTGTTCATGGATTTTAATGAGCTCTTAATGACTCCTCCGGTTTTGGCATATCCTAATTACACTCGACCTTTTATTTTGCAGGTGGATGCTTTTGATATTGGTGTTGGAAGTGTGTTGATGCGAGAGAGCCCAAATGTGCCTGGTCAGCTCTATCCTATTGTATATATAAGCCATGCATTACAACTAGTGGAGGTGAATTACTCCACGATAGAGAAGGAGTGTTTAGCAATAGTTTGGGGTTTTGAGAAATTTTATGTATATGTACATGGTTCCGGACATTAGTTACTTGAAGGTGATTATGCTGCAGTTACTTTATTATTGAAGTGAAAGAACCTGGTTGGTCGTACTACTTGGTGGGCTTTGAAGCTTCAGATATATGATTTTGATATTGTTTATCGGCCAGGGAGTTCTATGGCTGATGTTGATGCCCTTTTTTGAGCTCCTCTTTCTTCTCCACTCTCTTTTCATATTTTTGACAAGCTTGTTGTTCTGGCATTTGTGAATTTTCTAAACAAGGATTTTGTGCCATCGGCAATTTTATATTTAATATTCAGTGTCCACAATGTGCAAAGCAAGATCTACCTAATCTTGATGAGGTTCATGAGCCTCAAAAACTTAAGCTATGGATTCAAAGGCTTCGTGATGGGTTTGAGAATCTTATATCATTTGTTTATGACTTGCCATTCTAACATTTACATTCTTAGTATTGCCTTGAAGAAGGCCTTTTATATTTTGTAGGATGGATCTTGATGATCCTTTACGGCTGGTAGTGCCTTCTGTCTTTATTCCACGGTTTCTCCATGCCTATCATGATTCTCCTATTCTAGGTGGGCATATGGGACATCGTCGTGTGACCGAGAAACTGCATAGATATTTTTATTGGCTAGAGATGCGATGTGATGTTATCCAGTATGTGCATAACTGTGTTTGGTGCCAAGCTCGTAATATTCCCTTTCGTGCTGGAAAAGGATGGTTGGGGTCAATTGCAATTTCCCATCCATTTGAGTTGGTGGCATTTAATCTTATAGGATCTTTTCCACAATTAACTATTGGCAATAAGTATATTATTATTGCTTTTGACTATTTGACTTGTTGGGTGGAAGTTGGTGCTCTTGCTAGTGCCTTTGCAACTACTATTGAATACTTCCTCTTCAATCGAGTGGTGTTTCAGCATTCTTAATAATGGTCCCACATTTATGGCTGAGGCATTTCCTGTTTTGACGTCTCAGTTGGGATATACTACACTTTCATGAGTGTTTATCATCCACAGTCATACGGTTTGGTGGAACAGCTCATTTGGACATTCAAAGGAATGATCGCAAAGTACGTGAACTTTCAAGATTTAGATTGGGATAGTTATTTGCCGTTTCTTCAGTATATATATGTTATAGGGGTGCAAAGTTCTATTAGTGCTTCACCATATAAAATTTTATATGGTCATGATCCAATTTTACCAATAGAGCTGAGTTTACCTTTGCGATTGTCATGAGTTGCTAATGCTAGGTCGTGAGATTAGTATTTGACAAGCGTTCTTCTATTTGTCCGAACAAAGTTTGTGAAACACTTAAGCCGTATATAAGTGGGACAACAATGGCACTACAACTCCCATCATCATCCATCTGTAAAGTACAAAGTGAATGACTTGGTGTTAGTCCATTTTCCCCATCTTATGGTACGTGGTTTATCTAAGGGGTTGTTTGCTCAGTGGAAAGGACAGTATTGGGTGTTGTGGCAAGTTGGATTACAAGTTTATGAGGTTTAGCATGACATCTAGCAGGTTAATCCTCCAGAAATTGTGCATGTGTAACAATTGAAACGCTTTATACAAAGGGATTAAGAACAACTGAGACCACCTACAAATCCGCCAATGCTTCCTCCTGATGTTCCTCCAAATCTTGGGCCATATACAAGAGAACCCTAATAGTCTTCCATTATTCCGAGAGGAGGGGATGATGTGAGGTCCAAGCGTACGGTTATAATGCCGTATACTAATATTACCATAATGGGATTTTGGTAGCCATCGGATTGGTTTCAATTTGGACCACTTGCTCCTGTATATAAATTAGGGTTTTTGGGCTAATTAATATACACATTTTTTATATTCCCTTTCCATATTCCAAGCAATCACAGTATGTATTATAGATAATTGCAGTACAAAAGAGTGGTTAGAGACTATAACAAAAATTGTATTTCATTTTTCTCAATTACACATATGTTACTTTGGTAGTGAATAAAACTCCAAATGATATAATTTACAACATTGCAAAATTAATCTTTCCATGCAAACAATAGATAAAGACTTTAAAGTTCTTCAATATCTACTTCATGAATAGAGAGAGAGTACTACTAAAAGTTTTTAAGAATATAATGAAAAAAACTATTTATATCACAAAAACTATAGGTAAAGGTGAGATTTGGCACTGCAAACCAATGATAATCCAAACAACATTTTCATGTCTTTTGACACTTATATCAATGCATTTATGAAAGGGATTGCAACTGCTAAAGAAGTCTATGACCATGATTGACTAAATAACCTAAATCAAAGGCATGAATATCAATGGCATGTATGGGCTATGATTCTAACCATCCCATCTTATTGGATGACTATGGAATGGCTATTGGATCCTCAGCATATTCCTACCAAAGGATTGGTGGAATATATTGGGGTGTCCAGTACTTGTGGCAAGTGACCACTGTATAAAGTTTGTATGTTTGAAGTTGCAGGGTTTCATTCAGATATATAGACACCTATTTTACAAATAACACACTGCAAATCAATTATATTGCAAGATAAAATCAATTTAAAACACACATGTTTGAATTGTTTAAACACACTGTATGACTCACCAAATAATCTTTGGATACATCATTTTTGTAGACATGGGTATACATTAGTATGAACATTATGTTTGAATGGTTTTGTTTTCTTTTTTCCTGGAATCAAATGCTGCATATTGAAATCATGGCCTTTTGATGATGCTAAATCTCAAGGAATATGTAACAATAAGATTGAAAGTAAGGTGCAAGATTTTGCTATTCCAAGAGGAGAGCTGATCAAGATTGTGGGAGTTCTGCCACAATAACATATGGATGGAAAGAACCATTCCATCAAAGTGATCTCATGATACTAAATTCTATTTGTATAGAGCGATTGTGATTCCATCCACTGCAGCAAGGCCAGAGCAAGGCCCTGGCCAAGAGGATGAGTGTTTGGAAGAAGATCATGCCCACCAAGCTTGATTATCAGTCACTAGTGGACTTGACCCAAGAAATTCAACGTGAACACAAGCATACATATTAGTGCCTTGTATAAATTCTTCATATGACAACTCCATGTGGAGCAAGATGTCTTGCAGAAGGAAGAACTAACTAAAAAATCTTGTTCTGACAGTAGCATTGGAAACACAACTTACACTAGATCCACATGTGATCACTAGAATCACTTAAGAGAGAGAAAGCCTTTTTTTCTTAATTGGCTTATGTGGCAGTCTTGTGTGTCATGGATACAATCACGTTTAGATTGCTATTATAACAATCAAAACATCCTTGTATACAAAATAAAAAATAAATATTCTCATATTAATACTCCCATCATATTTTGCTTGCCATAACTATTGTTTTCCTTTATTTTCTAAACATTACTACTGAAATAAAATATAAAATTTATGTAATTAATTAATCCATTCAAAACTCACAAAGAATTTTTTTTTTATATATATATATATAGAGAGAGAGAGAGAGAGACATATTCATATATATATATATACATATATATATATATATACATACATATATATATATACATACATATATATATATACATACATATATATATATATGTATACATACATACATATATATATACACACACACACATACACACACACATTTAAAAATTAATTATTAATTAGAATTATCTTATTATTTCTGCTTTATTTTTTATTAACTATTTTATTATCTTTACTTTTGTTTCTTAATAAACATTGATAAAGCAGCAACTACCATAATAGAGCTAATATTATTAACCATGGTGTCCACTAAGTTGTATAATTTTAAATAAATATCAATATTTAAATATCTATATAGTAATTGAATTGGAAATAAAAAATTATGATATATATCAGGTAATAAATAGCTTAGTTTTAAATATTCAAATATCTCATCTAAAAACCAATCACTGTGAGTTGATACTACAATATCATTTACAATTAAATCTCCAGACAATGTAAATGGATTGTAAAGGCCATATTTTTTTGATATATAAATATCTAAAGATGAATTAATTAAAAATAAAAAACTGAAAATTAATACTTACCTGATATATTATTAGGTAATAGTTCTCCTGATTGCTCATCCAAAACTAATAAAGTATCTGCAAAAGTAATATCCTTTGCATACTTATATAGTATTGATTTTGAATCTAAAATGGATTATTAGGAATATGATGCATGAAATAGTAAATAAAAATTCTTACTTTTAGTTGGTATAAAATGTAAACTAGATAACTCAATGCTCTTATTATTTTCAGTATTAATATGAATAAATTCTTCATAAGGCTCAATATCTTTATGTCCAAAAGCATATATATCAGAATAATCTATTTTTCCATCTTTATTTCGGATTGCAACCTAATTACAACAGTTAAGAGTAAAATTAAGTGATTAATCTTACAAACCTTATCACCAATTGAAATATCCTTTATTTGTTTTCGTTTACCATTAGAAAGCTTTAAAATAGCATCACCTAGTAATAAAATTAGGGCTACGAATATGATAAAGTGAACTATACCTGGAAAACATGATTTGTTTTTGACACAATTAGCATTATCGCAGTGATAACCTGAAATACAATCTGAGTCATGTTGACATGGATCAACTTGAGAATTAGTGAAGGGAAAAATACTAGTAAATAAAAAAACATAAATAAAAAAATTAGTCATTTCTGAAAGTGTATAAGTAAATTATTGGAAGCTACATGCTTTATATAAAGTATATGTTCATTATTATTATTTTGTATTATTGTGTCATTATTGAAAGATGCTTATTTTGGATTTTATTTTGATAATTAAGAATTTATTGGTCATTTTTAATCATTATTTTTCTATTTTACGTCAAATAATTATAATCGAACTCAATAATTTCCTGCATGATCACCAAGAAAAACCACACAACACCTCATCAAGAATCATATAGCCAGCAGGAAACAAAACTGCTTGAAACATAGAGGAATAACACGAGGTTTACAATTGTCCAGCTGAGCCAATAGGTCTGATATTAAATATTATTTAACATTTTCAGCGGCTAAATGAGCCTAGAATGCCTATGAATTTCTAGCCGGGCAGCGCGAATCGTACAAAGCTTTGCTGCCGGAGCTGCGATCTCCAGATCAAGCACTTCCACACTTTCATCAAACCCCGCCTCCAAGTTCTGCGGGGATAGGTGTGGGATTCTCACTTTCAATCAACCTGAGGTGCTGACTTGCAATCCCAAAGGTAGCTGCTTTATGTCCTAAGAAATATCATTTGTTCCCGCATGGGCAACTGCAACAACATTGAATGGTTCCAATATCTGTGGCCACAACAAGAGGGATTGAAGTGCGGGATTCTCTCTTTCAATCTGATAAGGTCATAGGATCTCAATGGATTGATGTTGCAAAGACGTGTCTCGGGAAGAGCAAGAAGGTTTTTCTGCTCTTGCGCTGGATATGGAGATAGAGCCGCGAGACCGAGCCACAGTGATGTTAGCGAGAGGCTGGATCGCCTCGAGAAGCGAGGAGTTGCTGCGGATTTCTCCACCTACATGGATCTCCTTCGCGCCTGCGCAAGCTCCAGAGATCTCCCGCAGGGCAAGCGCCTCCACGCCCAGATCAACAGCGCGGGCGCCGGCGGCGACACCATTCTCGGGAATCTCCTCGTGAGAATGTACGGGAAATGCGAAGCTCTGGACGACGCCATCGCCGCATTTGAGTCCATCGAGCATCCAAACGTCTTCTCCTGGAGCATTCTCGTCACTGCGTATGCCGAGAATGGGCATTTGCGAGAGGCGCTGGATCTTCTCGGAAGCATGGATCTCCACGGCGTCAAGGCCAGCCATGTCACGTTTATCAATCTCCTGGGCGCCTGCACCCTGGCAATGGATCTCGCCCGGGGTGAGCGCCTCCACGCCCGGATCGAGGCAAGCGGGTTCGATCTGAGTGGAAATCTCGGCACGGCGCTGGTGAGCATGTATGCCAGGTGCGGCGGCCTCGATCGAGCTCGGGATCTCTTCGACCGGATGAGAAAGCGGGATATTATCGCCTGGAACGCGATGATCGCAGCGTATTCTCTTCACGGCCGTGGAGATCTAGCGCTGGAGCTGTATTACCGGATCGAACCCGCGGGGCTGGCGCCCGATCGATCGACGTTCTTGAGCAGTCTTGTAACCTGCGAATCGATCGATTCGGTGAAGAGACTCCATGGCGACCTCGCCGCTCGCGGCCTCGAGCGTGAAGCCCTAATCGGGAACACGCTGGTGAGCACGTACGGGCGGTGCGGCAGCCTGGACGAGGCCATGGCGGTATTCGTGGGCATGCCGTACAGGAACGGGGTGACGTGGGGCATTCTGATTGGAGCTCATGCTCAGCATGGGAAGGCCAAGGAAGCGCTGCGTTTGCTCAAGCTCATGGATTGCGAAGGCGTGAGGGCGATGGAGAACACATTCTTGACTGCGCTGAGCGCTTGCTCCAGCGCGGAGTTCCTGGAGGATGGGAGGAGAATTCACGAGAGGATCGCCGCCGCGGGCAGTGGAGTGATCGACGAGAGCTCCACCCGGTTGAGCAATGCGCTGGTGACGATGTATGGCAAATGCGGGAGCTTGATCGATGCCGAGAGCGTCTTCAATTCGTTGCAGTGCAGGACGATCGTGTCGTGGACGTCGCTGATCGCCGCGTATGCCCAGCATGGATTCCCCCGGAGAGCTCTCCAGATCTTCAAGCAAATGGACGCGGAAGGGACGAAGCCCGACGAGATCGCGTTCTTGAGCGTGCTGGAGGCGGTGTCAAACACGCCGGAATTGATCGAGGAAGGGAGGAGGATCCACGAAGAATACGATCAGAGCAATAGAATCCACGAGTCCCAAAGCGTGGAGACGGCGCTCATTGACATGTATGGCAACTGCGGTAGCATCGAGAGCGCCTGGAGAGTATTCGATCGAATGGGCGACGAGCGGAGGGACGATGTGATCCCGTGGACGTCGATGATCACAGCTTGCGCTCACCAGGGTCACGGTGATCAAGCCCTGCTGCTACTGAGTAGAATGGAGCTCCAAGGGATCCATCCCAACCAGCTGACGCTGGTGAGCGCGCTGGATGCGTGCGAGGACCTGCGAGAAGGGCGGAAGATCCATGCCGCCATCGCCGCCAAGGGGCTCTCAAGCAGCGTGATCCCGGGCACCGCGCTAGTCAACATGTATGATCGCTGCGGCGCCCCCGCCAGCGTGAGGGCGGCGTTCGAGGAGATCCGGGGCAAGAACTCCATCTCCTGGAACGCGATCATCGGGGCCTACGCTCACCAGGGTGACCTGCGCGAATCGATGGACCTACTGCAAAGAATGGATCAAGAGGGCGTGGCGCCGAATGTGATAAGCTTCACCTGTGTGCTCTTCGCATGCGCGCATGCCGGATCGATCCGAGAGGCCCGCCGCCAGTTCCATCTCATGATCGGGGACTACTCTATCGAGCCACTGGAGGACAACTATGGCTGCCTCGTCGATCTTCTCGGCCGCGCTGGGCGCCTCGATAGGGTTGAGGAGCTCATTCAAACCATGCCCATTTGGCCATCTCCCGCCCAATGGATGAGCCTCTTGGGCGCTTGCCACATCCACGGTGACGTACACCGGGGTGTACGGACAGCCCAAAAGGCCCGGAGCTTGGACCATGGCCACTCCTCGGCGTACGTCGTGATGTCCAACCTCTGTACGGTCAGATGACGCCGGGCAGGTCCTTGTCACGCTCATTAAAATGGTGGCCCATTCTTATCCCCGTCCGTACGCGCGCTGGCCTGGAGCAGCAGATGCCAAGGCCGGGCATTTTTGTCGCGCTTCCGTACGCGAGTGTTCTAGGCGATTCCAGCCCGATCGATCGATCGATCTGATGGGTCTGACGAGCAACTACCTCACGGGGATCCTGAATTTTGCGGCGATGATCCTCTCGCTGGCGGTGATTGGTGCGGGAATTTGGCTTGCGCACCGGCACGAGACGGTGTGCGTGAAATTCCTCCAGTTTCCCGTGATCGCGCTAGGGCTCTTCATCCTGCTCGTGTCCCTGGCGGGATTTATCGGCAGCTGCTTCCGGATCGCGTGGCTGCTGTGGATCTATCTCCTGGTTATGCTGCTGCTCATCCTAGCGCTGCTGGCATTCACGGCATTTGCGTTTGTGGTGACGAGCAGGGGCGGTGCCAGGCATTCTCTGGCTGGATTGGGCTACGAGGAGTATAGGCTCACGGATTACTCGCCCTGGCTCCAAGATCGCGTCAAGAATCCGGGGAATTGGGCAAAGATCAAGAGCTGCTTGATCGCTGCGAGGGTTTGCGTCGGCCTGGAAGAAGCTACATTCACCAATTACTCCCCATTGCAGGTGTGGCCCAATCTCCTCGAATTGGATTGATTGTGTCTAGTCCCTTTGCAGTCTGGATGCTGCCGGCCTCCAGCGGCGTGTGGCTTCGCCAACGCCACAAGCTGGGCGGATCCCCAGAACCCTAATTCCGACCCGGATTGCTCGCGGTGGAACCAGGAGGATCTGTGCCTGGATTGCGATTCCTGCAAGGCGGGAGTGCTCGAGAACATCAAGCGCGACTGGCGCAAGGTCGCGTTCGTGAGCGCGGTGATGTTCTTCTTCCTGGTGATCGTCTATTCTGTGGGCTGCTGCGCGTTTCGAAACGCTCGCAAGAAAGAAGTTTTAGGGTTCTAGAGGGTCAAAAATTGTCAACGGTCAGCCGTTTGAATTGTTTAATTTTTTTTTCTAAACGAGAGAGGGGGTTGAGACTATGATTGGCTTCTTGTTATCAGTAATGCCACTGTTTTCGTGCACAGAAGCGCACGGGAGAGGCCGTGGCGTGCGGTGACGGGTCCATGACGAGCTGAGGCGTGGCCGTCACGGGGGGTTTGACGGCCGTTTTATAGGCCATTCTAGGTTTGGGGCTCGTAGGTCCGGGCCGAGGCTGTGCATGAGCGAGCAAGCTTGCGTTGCGGGAGCTTGAAAGAAGACCGAGCAACGGGATTTCGATCCCGAATTTAATGCGCGGCGATGGCGCTGCGACGCTGCTGTGGCGCTGGACGATCGCCAGTGTAAGCTCGGTGGAATTTCTCCCTTGTTGCGGCGCTTTTCCTTGTTTGCGTGGATCTTTGCTCCTACGCTACCGATATTTGGGATCCAATTTCAGGAATTGAGGCCGCGGGGAGGGATCGGGGAATGCGAGTAGGCGGTGGCGGTTTGATCGCGAGAATATCCGCGGCGCCGCGTCCAAGATCGAGAAATCCGTGCTCCCGTGAGCTCGCGGTGCCGAAATATTTCGACGCTCGTGTGCGATGAACAGTACGCGAATCGGACAGCCATAGTCCAAGTGAAAATATTCCTGTGGAAGATATGGAGGAGCGAAAGGACAAGGGGAAGTATCCAGTGGTACCAGCCGACTACAAGTTGCTCGAAGAGATCGGGCAGGGCGTGAGCGGATTGGTGTTTCGGGCATTTTGCGTGCCTCTTGGAGAATATGTCGCGGTGAAGCAGCTGGATTTGGAGAAATGCAGTGGGACTTTGGTAAGTATACCGATACTTTCGAGCTCATCTTAAAGTTTTATTTCTTCCTTGCTGGTAGCTGACTTAGATGTCCGTGCTTCCCAGGATACCATCCGAAAGGAAGCTCAGACAATGAGCTTGATCAACCATTCCAATGTCGTGAAGGCACACTGCTCGTTTGTGGTGTCTCAGCATCTTTGGGTAGTCATGCCGTATATGGGAGGTGGCTCGTGTCTTCACATCATGAAGGCAACATCTCCCGATGGATTCGACGAGCCGGTTATTGCGACAATTCTTCGCGATACGTTGAAAGCTTTGGAGTATCTTCACCGACAGGGACACATTCATCGAGATGTGAAGGTATGTTCCTCTCAAGTCAACTGTCCTTGGATCTATCTAATTTGGGTGTTCTATCAAGGCTGGGAATATCCTCATACACGAGAACGGTGCCGTGAAGCTCGGTGATTTTGGCGTCGCGGCTTTCATGTTTGACAATGGCGATAGGCAATGGTCGAGAAAAACTTTTGTGGGGACACCTTGCTGGTACGCAATCAATATGATTCTGTTCGAGATTCATTCTTAACGAATCTCTGCAGGATGGCGCCGGAGGTCATGGAGCAGATCAATGGTTACGATTTTAAGTACAATTCTAAATTACTTTCTTTCGATTTTTCTTATCTCCCAGTGTGTGCCCACAGGGCTGACGTATGGTCTTTCGGTATAACTGCTCTAGAGCTTGCACACGGCCATGCTCCGTTCTCGAAATATCCACCTCTGAAGGTAAATCCGTGATTTTTATGTTCCTTCGAGTGCTGAATGCGCTTGACAGGTTCTACTGATGACTTTACAAAATGCAGCTCCTGGATTGACTTACGAGAGGGACAAGCGCTTTTCTAAGGTCACTTTAATCTAGTTTCTTTTGCGCTTTTTAACAGCTGCCTTTTGCTAATTTAGTCTTTCAAGGAGATGATTGCCATGTGTTTGGTTAAGGACCCGACAAAAAGGCCAACAGCCGAAAAGCTTTTGAAGCATTCTTTTTTCAAATCGGCAAAGTCAAGCGACTATATAGTCCGTCACGTTCTGGACGGCCTTCCACCTCTCTGGGAACGTGTGAGGGATGTGAAGGTATGAGAATTGGATCTGTATGGTGCCATGAGGTAACATTTTGTGACACCAGCTGAAGGATGCTGCACGACTTGCGGAAAAGAAAACGTCTACTTTCGAGGAGCAGGAAGAAAAATCCCAGGTCAGGCTAGAAAAATGTATTGTTATAAATGTAACACGGGAATAAACCATGCAGAACGCTTATAAACGCGGAGTAAGTGGCTGGAATTTTGACGTTGAGGATCTCAAAGCACAGGCAGCAATGGTAACTTGAATGACAGTATGGTTATTTCATTTTGACCAGTTTGATGCAATGCAGTTGCAAGACGATGATTATGCTCCTGTCATCAAGAAAGAGGAGGAAGGAGTTCCCTCTAAAACTGTTTCTAGAGTAGCCTCGCCTCATACGACAATATCCGCCGACGATAATCTTATCTCTGAGACTATCAAGGCCGAGATACCTCTCGATGTAAGTAGTTTGTCTTCCTATACGTAAACTATTTTGTTCGTTTCAAATGTAGGGAGAAGAGTGCATAGTTCGCAAGCCGCCAAATGGAGCCAAGATAAGGTAAGTATTATTCTCTCGACTATTTTAAGTTAATCAAATCGTTTCTTTACAGAGGCCGGTTCAATGTCTTCGTCGATAACGTGGAGATAGATTCATCAAACTGGTGTGAGAACGCAGAACAACTCAACGGCGAAGAAAGTGCGCTTGCGCACCACAAGGAGGAAAAGTTCGAAGATAAAGAGCTTGATGACTCGAAAATCATAAACGCAAAAGATATTTCAATGGATCACAACCGACAGTTAGATTTTGATGATGCACTTACAGACAAGCCTTTGGATGACGAGAGAACCAGGTAACATATTGCAATTTTTCTTCCTTGATCCTGACGGCATTTGACTTCAGAGATCACAAGCTAACGATGCGCCCCTCAGGAGAGGAGAACCCCTCTACTGTGCCATCTAGCAATGGAGTCGTTGACCATCGACCTGCAAATGGATCAGCCAAGCCCCCACCTGGTATAGCCTCTTTGATTTATTATTTGAGTCGTCTCAATTGTCTGAATGAAACAGGAAAAGAGGATGAGAAGGTCAAAGGGCCCGTCGTCCAGAAGAAAGGACGGTTCTCCGTAACCTCGGCAGATGTCAATCTCAAGGACCTTAAGGAGGTATTAGTTTGCTGTCTAAATGCTAGTAAGATTCTATGTAATAAGCTCGTTGCAGAACAAGGATGTGGAAAGGCTTGCCGCTCTTCCAAATGTGAAAGTAAAAAGCAGTGTAAACTCTATTGAGCATTCGGTACAGTTGACTCTTCTTTTGCGTTGATAAGTACTTAACATCTGCTGCTGCAGGAACTTCTCTCTCCCTCAAGTCTCCGAAGAACTTCGAGTGCCCAGGTTGAACTTTCTATTAGTTTGTGTCAGTAAATCTTAACGCTTTGGTGGCTTAGATGTACCAGCAAGTTTTTCCACAGTCATCCGGTACATCTCCATCTCCAGCCACACCATCTACTACTGGCTACACTCCCGTGTCGACTGCGGCATTACTGCCACTGCTCCAGAATCTTTTAAACCAAACGGCGATGCAGCAGGTATGCAACGATGTTGAATGTTACAGAACCGTGAAGCTGCTAATTCCAACAGGACATGATTGTGAATCTGATGACCATTGTATGCAACCATGGGACTGACTTATCCGCTGGTAAGTGGCTGCAATTCCACGTTATTGTTCTTACATGACTTTTTTTGCGCAGGCGCGTCCAACCAGCGCTTGAGTCGGAGTGCGAGTGCGAGTGCAGTAGACCACGGGGTATGTGTATGTTGTTTTCATCCGAAAAGTGACAAACTTGTTGCTTCAAACAGAGCGATCACAACTGCTCGGACCGTGAACGTGACCTTCGCCAACAAGTCCTTGAACTGCAAGTGAGGTGAGAAATCAAGTCTCTATGTAAGACACTCTGTCGAATTTAACACTTTGCTTGTTTAGAGTGGGAGTGCTTGGTGACGAGCTGCAAATGATGAAGCTTCGCAATGTCCAGGTACTTGGTGTTCTTGTTTTCTTTTTCGCTCACGAATGGAATCCTGTTTCGCAGCTGGAGAGACAGCTGAACGCGATCTTCAACAAAGAAGAGGAGGAAAGAATACGCAAAGAGGAAGCCGCGAAAGAAGACGGTTAAAAGGAAATGCCTCCCTCTTCTGGTCTCTTTATTTTTTCGCTTCGTTCTTTCGACATTTTTTTCTGTTTACATGTTTTGCAAGCCTAAGCTCACTGAGAATGGAAAACCAGTGAACTTCTAGAGCTAGAAATTGGAAAAGAAAACTAAGCCGCCTTACAAAGGGGTGTTAGCTTGTTTTGCAAGAAGCTCAGCCCACTCTCTACACGTTTCAAGCGCTCTTGCATTCCCTTGAGAATAACATCAGTTCTTTGCTTCTCCTGCTCGGCCTGTCCCAAGTAAAAAATGGAAACAGAAAAAAATAAAAAAATAAAAAAAATTGGAACATCAAAATGGAAGAATTTTTCTGGAAAAGCTTGCCTGCATTTTCCGGACTCTTTGCAAAAGCGTGGGGCGATGGTGTCGTCTCGTGGCTTCCAACAAGCTACTGTCCTGCCTCTTTGGAGGAGCCCAGTAGTGAGGAGGTTTAAGCTCCGACTGGATCAAACACAAACACGTTCATGAAACTAGATAAGAACGATATAGCTTACCGGAGCGGGCGGAAATGCTAGCTCTCGTTTGAGAGTTAGAAATGCCATTGACGCTCCAAATGCGGATCTATCCGCCGCTGGGGTTTCTGGAGGATCCTGCAAACCATGCACAGACACACTGGAGTTTACGAAACGACAGTAGCTTCACAACTACAGCAAAAATCACCTCTTTCTTTTCCTTCTTCTCGGGTTTGGGGTCTGGCTTGCATTCAGCTGCCTGAAGCTCAGCGTCATTCTACTTGGCCAGTCGAGTCAGTTTGGATGAATGAAGAGGTTTTTTTTTAGTGAAAAAGTGCACGTAGAAGAACTTACGAGTAAACAGGATTGTGGGCGAAGAACTGGGATGAATCTTTGGTATGGATGCCGTGACGGAGGTGGCGGTTCCAAAGCCCACGACTGACCACTTTGCCGTGCTTGAAGATACGCTTTGATAACCGGTTGCCCAACGTTTTTGGCGATGGGATTCCCCCACAATATCACCTGAGGAAACAAGATGATATGCAAAGTTCAGTACAAAGCTCGACAAAGGTTCGAGCGTACCTTGTTCAAATGCTCCAGAAACCTCAGGGACACTAGCGTGTGAGGCTCTTTGAGGCAGTTAAAAGACAAATCCAGCTCCGTGAGCCGCCGGAATGGCTTAGGCCACGAAAACACCTGTACAGCTTGACACCAAAGTATTCAAGTCAGTATTTTGAAAAAAAGAAGAGAGAAATGAGCTGGTTACCTCCTCTGGCAAGCTACTGATCGAGTTTCTCGACAAGCAAAGCAGCTCCAGCCTTCGTATCTGTTTACAACGAGCGGAAAGTGTCAGAAACAAAGACTTACTGTAGTGAGCATTCCTTTACCAGTATAGCTGTCTAGTGACGGCGAAGAAAATTCAAGAATAATCACAAAGGAATGCAGTACTTTTTTTATAAACCTTGCTTAAGGGTATGAGGGACGATGAGTGAAGACCATTTCCTGCTGCAGAAAGTTTTTGCAAACTAGGAAATGCCCCCAAGTCTCCTATCTCGTCCGGTATCTTGCCCAAATAGTTGTAGTCTATGTTGAGCCTGCGTAAGTCTGGCAACGTCGACAACGCAAGCATAGCCGATGCCTTCAACTTGTTGTACGACACATCCAATTCCTGCAAACAAAAGTTTGTCACGAAGGTGCTCCACGAGCGAACAAATCGTTGTACCTGAAGGGCCGTAAACTTCTGTGCAGGGGGATTCACCGATAGTAGTCGATTCCGTTGGAGGCAAACGTTTTGGAGGAAAGGAAACGGTGCAAGGGACTCCTGAAAAAACCATGACAAAAGAAGCTCATGTTTCAGAGCTGCAAGCTTTTACAAGAAATACTTACAAGAGGCACAAAGTTGCTGGTGAGATTGATGTAACGCAGGGAAGTAAACTCTCCAAACTTTTGTGGATCGATTTTTTTTATGCCATGGCCCTTGAATCTTGCGTGTTTAAGCTTCGATGGCTCGTCAACACGTCCTGCCTTGCACTGGCCAAAAAAAAAAAAAAACACAATCAAGCATAAGAAGCTAAATATAAATGTAGAAGTCATTACCAGTGTCTGCCAATCGAGAACTTTCTGCTCATTTGGCCCCTTGTCCTGTTTTAATCTAGCATTCTTCTTCGTAACGTCGGCTGATTCTACAAAGCTTGATCTTCCCTCTATCCTCATTCTCTTGGAATTCTCAGAATCCTCGCCTTACAAGCTCGCATCGCAGCTGCCGGCATTTCAGCATGGAAACCTCTCGAGATTTCTCCATAGATCACACCGATAGCTCGCATTTTCTCTCTGGACCACAAACCTCCTCCTCGCGCAATCATCCCGATAAACCCTAGCGGGTACAGTCACGTCTCTCGCTCTTCGCTTGGCGGCAACCAACTTCGCTATGACATGGCTATTTACTTTACCCTCCACGTCACAGCCGTTGGTTAACCGCCAGTTCAACGGTTTCGATTTTGCCAGCGAGGCGGAAATTACGCGGCGGAATGTCGAGCTGGCCATCCAACGGATGCGTTTGAAAGAGAGAAGACCAGTGTGAGCTAGATAGCGGCTCATGATCGATCGATTGGTGCGGTAGCGGTGGAGCTCATTGGAATCACAGGGGTGGAATTTCCATGGCGCCCTGCCAGGCGGCTCGCGTCCAGGTATTTCTTGTGATTCTCCGAGGTAGGGTTTACATTCCTCGCGGCGCAGGTGTCGATCGCTGCTCCAGCATTTGGAAGCCGCCCCGGGAGCAAGCCTCGGGCTCCGGTGCGCGCATTGCCGTTCAGGATTGCTGGCCAGAGTCTAGAAGCGGGCATTGCGACGAGCAATCCTCTGCGCTTGCAAAAGCGAAGTAAAGTATCGGTGATTTGTGCTCTAGCACAGGCTCAGCCTTCCGTGGCGCTGCGAAATGCAGAGAAATCCATGCAGCTTCCCATCGACTACTACCAAGTGAGACAAACTCTTTATTTTCTTCCAAAGTAGTCTTTGTGGTGATGACGTTTTTTTGTCTGATAAAGATTCTTGGAGCAGAGCCACATTTCTCCACCGATGCTGTGATGAGAGCATACGAAGCTCGCGTAAGCAACCCTCCCACCGAGGGATTCAGCGTGGAGCTTCTGAAAGCGCGACAGCAAATCTTAAAAGTCGCGTGTGATACACTGGCTGACAGAGATCTTCGTGACGAGTATGACCATGGCTTGAAAGAAGACGAGGCTGGAACTCTGGTTGTGGAAGTTCCTTGGAGCAAAGTAAGTAAAACAATCTAGTGTTTGTTCTCGTCCTCGACTGACGCAATTTTGCAGATACCAGCAGCATTGTGCCTTCTTCAAGAAGCGGGCGAGGCCGAAGTGGTTTTGCAAGTCGGTGAAGCTCTACTCGATGAGAATTTGAAGAAGCCATTTAAGCAAGATGTTGTGCTCGTGACGGCTTTGGCTTATGTTGAGTTATCAAGGGAGGCAATGACTGAAAATCCTCCTGCCGTCATTCGAAGTTGTGACATGCTGAACGGGGCTTTGAGGCTTCTACAGGTATGCTTAGTCTTTTTTATTTATCTTTCCGCTTTCTAAATACTGATTTTGGCAGGCTGGAGGAAATATGCTAGCACCGTCTTTACAGGAAGAAGTATACGAGACTCTAGAAGAGATCACACCTCGCTGTGTTTTGGAGCTCCTTGCGCTGCCTCTTGACGAAGAACACAAGTCGCAACGTTCGGAAGGGCTTCAAGAAGTCCGTAACATTCTCTGGACCGCTGGCGAAGGAGGTCTAATGGCACCAGTGGGAGGATACACGCGTGAGCAATTCATGAAAGAGGCACTATCTCGCATGACTGCATGCGAGCAGGTACTTCATTTTTACCCAAACTTATTCTTCAGTGTGATTTATTTCTAATTGACAGCTTTATTCATCAAGGTGGCGCTGTTCACAGAGACTCCTACGAATATACCAGCAGAGAAGCTTGAGATCTACTCGGCCGCTTTAGCGCATGTTGCTGAAGGATTTAAGACGAAGAAGCCTCGGCTGATTCAAGAGGGTGGAAGCTTGTTCACTCAGCTGCACCAGAGCTTGGGTGACAGAAATGACAATCATCTTATTACGGACGAGCAAAGAGATGTGATGCTTGGACGGGCTCTATCCGCTCTTTTGCTTGGGGAAGTGGAGAACTGCAAAAATTTCCTCGGGCTGAACGATGTCAACTCTCCAGATAGGTGTCCCGAAGTCGCAGATTTTGTGTTATCAGGCACAGATGGCAACGGGGACAGTGACCTGCTTCCAGGGCTTTGCAAATTGTTGGAAAGCTGGTTGGCCGAGGAGGTTTTTACAAACTTTCGAGAAACGGCAGACTTTCACGTCTCTCTAAGTGACTACTACGACGACGCAGAGGTGCTTGGATACCTGGAAAAGCTTGAGAAAGGAAGCTTTCCACAAGAGGCTGCTGCTGCTATTGCACGTCTCGGAGAAGGTGTTACTAAGCATTCAAGCAACCGTTTACTTCCTCTGCAGATCGCCTGCATTGCTGCTGTGTTTGGAGGGCTGGCAATCGCAAGCGTCAGTTATCCACCCTTCCAGAAGGTCCTCAAAAGCTGGAGAGTGGCACCTCTCGTGCCAGCACTTACGTCTGCGATGACTTTAAGGAAAGGTATGTTGTGTGCAGATTGGGTGGAGCTTTTTTCGATTGTTTTCTTACCTGTAGGTACAACCGAACAGAAGGAGGTCTTAAGAATGGATGCAAGGCTAGCAGAGCAGTTGATACGAAAATGGCAGGCTGCAAAAGCCAAGGCGCTTGGAGTGACCCGTGGCATCACTCAACTTAACGAGGTACATGTGGATATATGCTCTTGCTTGCGTACTAATAACATTGGTACTTTCTGTGAGCAGATACTCGACGGCCAGATGCTGAAGAGCTGGACTGATCGGGCTGTCGAAGTAGCAAAACATGGATGGTATTGGGAATACAAGCTTCTGGAGATAAATATAGACAGTGTGACTATTAGCGAGGACGGTAGACGAGCTATGGTGGAGGCCACTCTTGAAGAAACTGCTCGGCTCTATGATAGCAACAATCCCCAACGCAACGATTCATACAAAAGCTCTTACACTACAAGATATGAACTTCATTACGGAGATGCTGGCTGGAGAATTACTGATGGTGCTGTACTTC